ATGTTCATTTTTTTCGAATGAAGGTTCATTATCGCATTTTTTAAATAGTTTTGATAATCAGATCGAGCCAAATTTTATAGGATTGTATTTGGCCATTCAAATTACGTTCGATCTGAAAAAATGAGAGTTGTAGCTTCTCAGATGTCCGAGATACGAGGCATAACGAGTTTATTCATTACGTGTGATCAGGTGATTGGATTACCTGTTCAGGTGATTAGATTGCCCCGTTAAATTGCAAGGGAACCCAATCAAGGTGTCCTATCACATAATCACCCAATCAATTTTGTTAACGAGATACATTCAATGCGTCATTTCAACTCCGATTGACCTCAATTTTTCAGATCAGATGCAACAATTAAATATCTACAGTAATCTGAAATAAATGGGCGTCTAGTATGTCTGGAAAGAACAATATAGGTGATTTAATATTATATGGACGTAGGCCGTAGTCTAAATATTCAAATTTTCAAACATTGGCGACGGAATCCTCGAATGAGTATTTACAGCATGCCATCTGCAAAGTTACAGGTCCATAATATGAAACACGGTGGTGGTGTAAGACCCAACATATGTAACGTTAGTTTTGCCCCAACCCCTGTAGCTTTTCTGGGTTAGGCGTGGCCCCTGGGAGTGGCCTGAGTGGGTTGGGAGGTCGAAACTTGATTTTTATGATGGTTTGGGATAGGCAGTACCCATTTTTATACTAAAACATGGGCCACCTACCCTGGAACATAAATCGCATACGGGGGTAAAGATTCTCAGTCTGGATTTGTATGGGATTTGACCTGGATTTGAGCTATTTTGGGATGGGCGTGGCCCCTGGGAGTGGCCCCTGGGAGTGGCCTGAGTGGATTGAGAGGTCGAAACTTGGTTTTTATGATGGTTTGGGATAGTCAGTACCCATTTTTATACTAAAACATGGGCCACCTACCCCGGAACATAAATCGCATACGGGGGTAAAGATTTTCAATCTTGATTTTACCAGGATTTCAGCTATTTTGGGATGGGCGTGGCCCCTGGGAGTGGCCTGAGTGGTTTGCGAGGTCGAAACTTGGTTTTTATGATGGTTTGGGATAGGCAGTACCCATTTTTATAATAAAACATGGGCCACCTACCCCGGAACATAAATCGCATACGGGGGTAAAGATTCTCAGTCTGGATTTGTATGGGATTTGACCTGGATTTCAGCTATTTTGGGATGGGCGTGGTCCCTGGGAGTGGCCTAAGTGGTTTGAGAGTTCAAAACTTGGTTTTTATGATGTTTGGGATAGGCAGTACCCATTTTTATACTAAAACATGGGCCACCTACCCCGGAACATAAATCGCATACGGGGGTAAAGATTTTCAATCTTGATTTTACCAGGATTTCAGCTATTTTGGGATGGGCGTGGCCCCTGGGAGTGGCCTGAGTGGGTTGGGAGGTCGAAACTTGATTTTTATGATGGTTTGGGATAGGCAGTACCCATTTTTATACTAGAACATGGGCCACCTACCCCGGAACATAAATCGCATACGGGGGTAAAGATTTTCAATCTTGATTTTACCAGGATTTCAGCTATTTTGGGATGGGCGTGGCCCCTGGGAGTGGCCTGAGTGGGTTGGGAGGTCGAAACTTGATTTTTATGATGGTTTGGGATAGGCAGTACCCATTTTTATACTAAAACATGGGCCACCTACCCCGGAACATAAATCGCATACGGGGGTAAAGATTTTCAATCTTGATTTTACCAGGATTTCAGCTATTTTGGGATGGGCGTGGCCCCTGGGAGTGGCCTGAGTGGGTTGGAGGTCGAAACTTGATTTTTATGATGGTTTGGGATAGGCAGTACCCATTTTTATACTAAAACATGGGCCACCTACCCCGGAACATAAATCGCATACGGGGGTAAAGATTTTCAATCTTGATTTTACCAGAATTTCAGCTATTTTGGGATGGGCGTGGCCCCTGGGAGTGGCCTGAGTGGGTTGGGAGGTCGAAACTTGATTTTTATGATGGTTTGGGATAGGCAGGTACCCATTTTTATACTAAAACATGGGCCACCTACCCCGGAACATAAATCGCATACGGGGGTAAAGATTTTCAATCTTGATTTTACCAGGATTTCAGCTATTTTGGGATGGGCGTGGCCCCTGGGAGTGGCCTGAGTGGGTTGGGAGGTCGAAACTTGATTTTTATGATGGTTTGGGATAGGCAGTACCCATTTTTATACTAAAACATGGGCCACCTACCCCGGAACATAAATCGCATACGGGGGTAAAGATTTTCAATCTTGATTTTACCAGGATTTCAGCTATTTTGGGATGGGCGTGGCCCCTGGGAGTGGCCTGAGTGGGTTGGGAGGTCGAAACTTGATTTTTATGATGGTTTGGGATAGGCAGTACCCATTTTTATACTAAAACATGGGCCACCTACCCCGGAACATAAATCGCATACGGGGGTAAAGATTCTCAGTCTGGATTTGTATGGGATTTGACCTGGATTTCAGCTATTTTGGGATGGGCGTGGCCCCTGGGAGTGGCCTGAGTGGTTTGCGAGGTCGAAACTTGGTTTTTATGATGGTTTGGGATAGGCAGTACCCATTTTTATACTAAAACATGGGCCACCTACCCCGGAACATAAATCGCATACGGGGGTAAAGATTCTCAGTCTGGATTTGTATGGGATTTGACCTGGATTTCAGCTATTTTGGGATGGGCGTGGTCCCTGGGAGTGGCCTAAGTGGTTTGAGAGGTCAAAACTTGGTTTTTATGATGTTTGGGATAGGCAGTACCCATTTTTATACTAAAACATGGGCCACCTACCCCGGAACATAAATCGCATACGGGGGTAAAGATTTTCAATCTTGATTTTACCAGGATTTCAGCTATTTTGGGATGGGCGTGGCCCTGGGAGTGGCCTGAGTGGGTTGGGAGGTCGAAACTTGATTTTTATGATGGTTTGGGATAGGCAGTACCCATTTTTATACTAAAACATGGGCCACCTACCCCGGAACATAAATCGCATACGGGGGTAAAGATTTTCAATCTTGATTTTACCAGGATTTCAGCTATTTTGGGATGGGCGTGGCCCCTGGGAGTGGCCTGAGTGGGTTGGGAGGTCGAAACTTGATTTTTATGATGGTTTGGGATAGGCAGTACCCATTTTTATACTAAAACATGGGCCACCTACCCCGGAACATAAATCGCATACGGGGGTAAAGATTTTCAATCTTGATTTTACCAGGATTTCAGCTATTTTGGGATGGGTGTGGCCCCTGGGAGTGGCCTGAGTGGGTTGGGAGGTCGAAACTTGATTTTTATGATGGTTTGGGATAGGCAGTACCCATTTTTATACTAAAACATGGGCCACCTACCCCGGAACATAAATCGCATACGGGGGTAAAGATTCTCAGTCTGGATTTGTATGGGATTTGACCTGGATTTCAGCTATTTTGGGATGGGCGTGGCCCTGGGAGTGGCCTGAGTGGTTTGCGAGGTCGAAACTTGGTTTTTATGATGGTTTGGGATAGGCAGTACCCATTTTTATACTAAAACATGGGCCACCTACCCCGGAACATAAATCGCATACGGGGGTAAAGATTCTCAGTCTGGATTTGTATGGGATTTGACCTGGATTTCAGCTATTTTGGGATGGGCGTGGTCCCTGGGAGTGGCCTAAGTGGTTTGAGAGGTCAAAACTTGGTTTTTATGATGTTTGGGATAGGCAGTACCCATTTTTATACTAAAACATGGGCCACCTACCCCGGAACATAAATCGCATACGGGGGGTAAAGATTTTCAATCTTGATTTTACCAGGATTTCAGCTATTTTGGGATGGGCGTGGCCCCTGGGAGTGGCCTGAGTGGGTTGGGAGGTCGAAACTTGATTTTTATGATGGTTTGGGATAGGCAGTACCCATTTTTATACTAAAACATGGGCCACCTACCCCGGAACATAAATCGCATACGGGGGTAAAGATTTTCAATCTTGATTTTACCAGGATTTCAGCTATTTTGGGATGGGCGTGGCCCCTGGGAGTGGCCTGAGTGGGTTGGGAGGTCGAAACTTGATTTTTATGATGGTTTGGGATAGGCAGTACCCATTTTTATACTAAAACATGGGCCACCTACCCCGGAACATAAATCGCATACGGGGGTAAAGATTTTCAATCTTGATTTTACCAGGATTTCAGCTATTTTGGGATGGGTGTGGCCCCTGGGAGTGGCCTGAGTGGGTTGGGAGGTCGAAACTTGATTTTTATGATGGTTTGGGATAGGCAGTACCCATTTTTATACTAAAACATGGGCCACCTACCCCGGAACATAAATCGCATACGGGGGTAAAGATTCTCAGTCTGGATTTGTATGGGATTTGACCTGGATTTCAGCTATTTTGGGATGGGCGTGGCCCCTGGGAGTGGCCTGAGTGGTTTGCGAGGTCGAAACTTGGTTTTTATGATGGTTTGGGATAGGCAGTACCCATTTTTATACTAAAACATGGGCCACCTACCCCGGAACATAAATCGCATACGGGGGTAAAGATTCTCAGTCTGGATTTGTATGGGATTTGACCTGGATTTCAGCTATTTTGGGATGGGCGTGGTCCCTGGGAGTGGCCTAAGTGGTTTGAGAGGTCAAAACTTGGTTTTTATGATGTTTGGGATAGGCAGTACCCATTTTTATACTAAAACATGGGCCACCTACCCCGGAACATAAATCGCATACGGGGGGTAAAGATTTTCAATCTTGATTTTACCAGGATTTCAGCTATTTTGGGATGGGCGTGGCCCCTGGGAGTGGCCTGAGTGGGTTGGGAGGTCGAAACTTGATTTTTATGATGGTTTGGGACAGGTACTAACTATTTAAAACCCTAAACCTGTTCCAAATACCCCGGAACACAAATCGCATACAGGGGTGAAATCGCATACAAATCGCATACACAAATCAAGGAAACGTGCTCTCACCACGTTTTCTTTGTACAAAGGCGCGAAATTACAGAGAACCGTATTTTATAGACTGACCTGCCCGAGTCTGTACAGTTTGCATATATCTGCCTCGGTCATTGGCACGTTGGATATTTCACTTGAGTGTACTAAACCCTGAAATGGTAAGGATTAACAATTTAACAACTTTAATCCAAATAACACTGGAGAACAAAAAATTGCATCTCCAGAACACACAATAGAAGATGTTTAAAAAAGTCGTAAACTGTTACTAAGATCATAATTGAGTAAAATAAAATCGCTCCTCTGCATACCCTGATTTTAGAGGTGAAGTTCATGATGATACCAAACTGTTTGATGGCAGCTATCCAACCAGTTACTTGTTGGTTCTTTTCAAGTGTCTCGTATCCTGTCACATCTGCCGTACTAGGAACCACAGGTTTTATTACTTCTGGTCGTAGTTTTGAGACAACGAATAACTTTTAGAAAACGAAAAATGTTAAAGTTGAAAATTTCGTTATTCAGACAAATTAAATCTCACTCTGGTTGATAAACGTCTTGTACCGATCACGGATTAGAAATCAACATGATGATCAATAAAGAAACCTGTTTTTGACGACACTCCGTTTCAATGTTAGAGTCAGTCTGCGTTTAGAAGGGTCTACAGTCAGCACCTTCGCTTTGACCCTCTGATTCTGTTTAAAACTTGAGAGCTGGGTTCTTGATGTTGATATCAGCCATGTGGATCTTCGGTACAAAACCTGCGGTCACGTGCTCAGTTAGATCGTCGGATTAATAAAATGCTCAGATGATGTGTTATATCTTATCATATAACTCATGAGATGTGTCAAAGGCTGGTTTTGTGGAGCAGAGAATTTAATGACAAATTCAATGATACATTAGGTTAAAAGGGCACTACGTGGGCAAATAAAAATAGAGACCTTTCAGAAAAAACCCTGATGTTTCCGAAATAACAACCCCCGAAATCCTCAAGTGACTATATAGCCTAAAAAAATGCACCTTTTATATCGGGGACGACAGAAATGGTTTATCTAACTGACTGTCTTAAAGATATTGACCTGGGTATTTTATTTTTAAAAATATAATGCCGGTGTTTATTATTCGTTTTGCGAACCCACTTGGGGGGGCTACGCTTCATTTAAAAGAAAACAATTCTACTTTTTCAAAGAGAAAAACGAAAAAAAAACCGGCCAATACTTTTAATTTGACCAAAAACAATAACAAATTTCAGTGTAATAACTATTCCGGGGTTAAGTTTAAATTACCAATTACCGGGCCCCGAACCCATGCTCTGGCTTTTTGGGTTTTTCCAGCCTTTTAAAATTAGCTCCCACTTTCCTGTCCCTTTCTTGCAGCTTCTTTGGGGGACAAATCCCCCTGATTCAAAAGGGAAATGGATAAAAGTGTGATTAAAGTTGCGGGAATAATCAGATTGACGGTACTCATGGTGATAGCACGAGCAACGAAACACAAAACTTTTTTCGCAGAACGAAATATGCTATCTTCGAGGGATTTTTAATCTACACCCCACCCAAATTTTACACCTCCCCAAAGTTTAACATCAAAATTTAAACCACCAATAAATTCCCAGATCTCCCAAATACAACATACCCAACACCACAATATCATAAAAAGATCTATAACCCCCAAATATCTACAATCCAACTACCCCACCTTCTTGCTCCCCCCCAACCAGCCCAAACACTTATAAATACAACAAAACATCTAATAATCCCACCCTAAATATACTTAACCCTAAAACCAAGAATACTCAACCATAACAATACCTTTTCCCCTATTCAACCAATTCTCTGTTAATGCTAAATTCTACTTAACCACACCGATCAATCACTTCTCACTTAAACATCTCAATCCAAAAAACCACTAATCTTAAAATCTAAACCCCCAATAATCACACTAATCATCCCAAACCCAAATCATACCAACCAAACCATCCTCTAACAACCATTTATATTCACCCCATTTATTATCTATACCACAAAATTCCCCCTCATCAACAACATAACGTACTTTAAAAAACACTACAACTAATTGCTCCCAATTTTATACCCAACTTCACACTCCCCTTTACAATCACCACATTATCCATACTAATATGTAATAATTACCCCCCTCACCTCAAATTACCAAAAAACAACCAAACCGCTTTATACTTCAACCTTATTTAACAAAATATAAAAAAATAACACTTGTACACAAATCTATTCATATACACACAAAAATTTTCACATAAAACTTTTCAATTTTCCATTATGTTTTCTTAAGTTGCTGTGAAAAAAAGCACCCCCTTTTGGCACACTTTTCCCTATTTGAGCGCGCCTTACTTACCAATCACTACTCTTATTCTTATATTTTATATTCTGACCAACACAAAAAATATAGATATATAACCCCCTCTATAATTTCTACTACTGATAACCAAAAAAACACCATTACCAATACCCCCCTTAAAATTCTCATATTTCCAATTCCTTTACCATATACTTTTTTTCCCCCCACCTTTTATTTTTGGCGATCGTTTTTATAACATCGTTGGTCCAATTACTAAAATTATAATCTACAATATTTAATATACATAAACTAAATACCGATCCACACGATAAAATTTTCTACCACTAGCAAATTAAATTTATAGTAAGAAGTAAAAAAAAATTCTTACACTAACAATAATATTATAAGATACACTACTTACTTTGTGTTCTTTAAACATTATATTTCTCACCCCTCCTCTCCAACTTATTTGTGCTATAAATGGCGTACTCCCCCCCCCCCCTCCTCCTACCAAATATAAATTAGATGATAAAATATGATCATACATAAAAAACAAAAATTGTTATTATAGCAGACGTAGAACGTATTTTGCTAGTACCTTATTAGTGGTGTTGTTTTTTTTTATTATTATATATTTCATACAATATACAAACACTACTCAATTGTACATTGCGCCACCGCCACTGTTTTTACGTCTTTTTGTTCATACTGTATGGTTTCTAATTATTATCATCAAGTCTATCCTCCTCTTTTTGTAGGAAAATTGTTTCTTAGCTATTAATTACTAATAATCATGAAATTCTAATCAATGTTTTAGCTCATAACAAAGTCAACTCTTTAAAAATTTCCATGATAGTGTAAATTGTAAATTAGTAGTAGCACTTTTGCATTGGAATGTTTGAATGTTGCGTAGTTTGAATTAATCTTTAATTTTAAATATAAATACAGAAATAGTTGAGTAGTAAAAATTTCACAATACTTTTCACATCAAAATATTATAATTATGATATTCATTATATATATTTATTTCACACTAATATTAACAATTGAAAAAAAACAATTATCCTAAAATAATATTCATTCATCCTTTCCAACCTCTCAAATAAATAAACCTTTTAAACTCATAATAACACACATACCAAAGATAGATAGTAGATAGAGAAATCCTACAAACCTCAAAATTCAAATTAAACCCAATTATATACCTTTTCCAAACACAAACAACTACACACAACAAAATATAGATAAAAAAAACCCACAACAAACCTAACACCACATAACCCAACCAAAACAACCATCTACACTAACTACATCCTTCTCATAAAAACAACCTCACCAAAAATTAATATATTTATTTACTCAAAAAAAAATTACCAAAAACTCAATTCAATCAAATAATACCACATCACATATTAAAATCATTAATCTTCTATAATAAAATATTTTCAAACTCTCTAATACCTTACACCTAATTCCACTAACCACCTCTATAAATAAATCTATAATTTTTTAATAATTAACTACACTTTATTTAAAAAATTTATCCAAATTCTTTCCCGTTCTTAAACATCAAACATTCCTTCCTATATATAAATTTTGTACAATATAAATCACCATAATATATAAAACTCCCCAAAAAATAAACTCAAAACTATCCTTATCTCTCTCCTAAAAAACAATTACATACATACTCCTACTCTCCAAAATATAAATCACCTCCAACATCTAAAATTATTTCCCTATACAACTTCTTTTATCACCCAACTCTATACATCTTTTACACTCAATTTTTCTCTTTTAATTTCTATCATAATCATAATCTTTATCATCTAATAAAATATAAAAACAATGAAAACTTAACTCAAACATATCTTCCATCCAATCTCAATACCAATAAAACAATTTCCTAACATAAATTAACACAAACTCCAAATACTAATTTCTTAATAAACCCTTACATTCCTCAAACTCATATCCTCCTCTAATAATCATCATACTCAACACTCCCTTCCCAACCTCAACTAAACAACTAAAACATAAAAAAACAATTATAAATCTCATCCTAGCCCTTTAATCATAAACCTCTCACCCTTATTTTTACTTAAATCAATATAAATATATTTTCTTTTTTTCACCACTCAAATTATCTCAAAACCTATATACAGCACACTCTTAATCCCTACCAAATCCACACTATCTCACAACATATCTTCCTAATCCATCCAACCACTAACTTACTACAAAAATCCTCAATCCAACAAACCTCAACAATACCCCCCCATCAAAAAATATAACAATATAAAAACATAAAACCTCCACATAACAAACTAATCTTCCAAAAAATCTTCCCAATCCCCTTAATAAACCCCCCCCTAAAATATAACAACTATCATTCCTCCAAATTACACTTATCAACATATATAAACCCAAATACATGCTTCTATATTCTTTCCTCACTTCACCATCCTTACACCACTAACTTATTCAACCAAACTAACCAAAATCATCACACACTAACATCCAATAACACACTCACAAAACCTCCCCTTCTCACATTCAATATACTTACCTACCCATTCCTTTTTTATCCCTACTAAACTTTATACACTACCCCAAAAATAAAACAAAAATGAGTAGGAGGACTAAACTATTGCTCTCGAATTGATTAACACCACCACACATACCCCTCTAGCCCACACATAAAAACAAAACATCAATTCCATCAAAATTTCTCATACATTCTATCTAAATATAAATAAAAATCAGACAATAAAATTTCTAAAATAATTAAACACACCTGTCTTATTTTATAATTCATAATCTTAAAAAATTACTAAAAATCTACACCAAAACTATAATATCTTCATCAAACCATTTTATCAACCAAACCACTCATAAAAATCTTCTATTATCCCCAATCAATTTAAATAATATAACTTTCCCCATAATCACTATAAATTTACCTCTAACTACAACAAAATACTTTAATCTTAAAATAATAAATAACATTCATTGAAGAGAATTAATTTAATTATTCCTCTCTTTAGAATTTAATACACTATACTTTACTACTCTCTTATAATACCCTATATACCTTCTTTTTTTGCTTTTTGTAACCAAAACCTTCAAAATACCTATAAACCCTACCCTACCTTATTGTTTGAATATAGATTTATCAAACTCTAAATTTAATCGCGCTCAACATTAACAAATTCGGTAAATCTTATACTACTTCCTCAACAACTCCATAAACCATCTTATACAAGATACAAACTACCACCATAAAATTAAACAATCCAAAACCTTATACCAATATATTTTTCGCCTAACCAATTATATCTGCGCTAAATATTCCCATTCAATTTACATTCATTACATATATTCTTCAACCTCTTCTGTATTATTGAAAACTCTTTAACCCCAACTTATTCAAAAAAAAACGAACTTC